AGATTAGAGAAATATTCAATAGTTTTCAATTCCGGAATCATGAGAATGGCAGCCCACCGATTTCGCATGGTAGACATGCCTAGGTGGTGAAAAACATACAACTATAGAAAAAAGACGCATATAATTGCTAGGAACAAAACAAATAGTTGTACCCATGACATTCAACTATCTGTAGGTATACGACAAATGTCATTTTATTGTTTTATTAAACCTGCAGCTTTGCAGTCCTGCAAGTGTATTATGCACATTGCTGCTGCAAGACATTGCAAGTGACAACCAAATTGAATACATTTCAAGACAGCTTTGCAATAGAAGGTGCCATGGTTTAAGTTTTATAAAAAAGCAAGAAGTATCTATAAAGATATTGAGATTTTTATTTTATACGAGTTTCACTTGGCTGAACACAAAAGCAAACCCTTAAGCGAGATAACTTATTTATAATGAATACTGGATAACTCGCCCCCAAGACAGGTCGCCCCCAAGGCAACTCGCCCCCTATTCAGGACAACTCGCCCTTTTTAAGGACAACTCGCCCCCATTCAAGACAACTCGCCCCACTTTAAGAAACCAGCAAATATTAACTATATTATACAGATATTTGAATTCAAATTGTTTCTAGAAAGTCAAAACAAATGTCTAAAAATAATTTTTCTCATTCTATTGAAAACAAATCAGAAATATCTATCTGAATTTTTTTCATCTGTAAACCTTTACTGAGTGTGCTTTTTTCCAAATTTTTAATTATACTGACATATTACTAATATCTATCAAGTCTATTTCATTTTCCAGTTCTGAAGAGAAAAAAGTCTAAGAATTATTCATTTTTTCTAAACTTGTAACATGAATTAAGTCTCCTCTAAAAAAAATGTATCACTTGTCCTTAAGACTGCAATTTATTATATATTTATATTTAGGTATCAATTTAAGAAATAGGTTTATGTACAGCAATCACCATCATATGGCAGATTTGTCGTTCGTGCCTGTTCAGCTACATGTACATATGCAATATGTCGGCATCAGGAGTTTTGACATAAGAAAAGTTTTTTCAAGATCTATGCCAAACGTTTTGATCTACCGAGTTAAACACACTTTAAAATGTAAATACAACTGCAGGATTTTCATTCTGCTGAATTTTAAAACACATGCGCCAGTTTTGTGCTAAACACTTTGATAAAGGCGAGATAACGATAAACGTGAATGTATGGACCGGAGGTAGTGATCGATTGCATGTACAGGGTAATTAATAAATTATTCTACATCAGAACAATTATAATGATACAGCAAGACCCACCCACCCCCCTCCCCCCAAAAAATTAAATGAAAAAAGACAGATTAAAAGTGTATTGAAGGGGTTAACCAAAAGTTCATGTACAAACGCTTATTTTTCTTGATAATATTATTAACCAGGATTTTTACCCAAATATTAAAATCAAGCAATAAAATCAAAATTTATCTAACGTAGATCTTATAACCAACTTTTTGGTAAAGAAAATTATATATTAAACCATTCATTTTATCCCCCCAAAAAACGTCATTTTCAAACAACTTTTTGGAAAACTCTTGTATTGTGATTTATAATAATATACATTTTAGTAAAAAAATCAACAAGCACGCAGTTTCAAAAAGGGCGTTTTTCATTGATAGGATAAAGGTCAGGCATTAAGATGGGGTTTTATAATCGTGATTTATTTTTCTTCCGTATTCATAGTCATTATCTCTATGGCATCGGTCGTCTTTTTTCCGCAAGTGTACATTCGTTTCTATAAATTCTGAAGAAAACATTAAATACACTGTATATTTTCTACTACGATATGTATATATATACTTTTTTTCAGATAGTATTTTGTTTTCAATTAATAAGAACATTTAATGATATCATCTACAGTATAATATTTGGCAAATCATTTACCAAACATTAAGCATAAATCATGTTATATGTGAGTATGTTCGCCTCTTAATTGATTACATAACTAACACTGTAAGTACCATCATTAAAAGATAATTTATAAAACTTTCTCTTCAGTAAAATCAAAATTGTTTGAAACAAAATATGGATTCAGTATGCGACCTTTCAATTCAAAAATAACATCTATGTTAAAAAGTTTCTGGGGATTGAACTTAGCTTAATTGGTGTCTAAATTCTGGAATAAAAATATTATAGGAAAATGAGTTATTTCAGTTATATATATTTTTTCTCCAGACTAAATTTAGAATTAATATTTTATTATTAATGTTATGTTTTCCTTTTCCAATGAAATAAAAAAAGCTTAATAATAGAATATAAATATACCTCTCCACCTGTTATACTCTGATGAGAATATCAATAAGACATTTGTCGCTTTATTAATAACAAATTAAATAAAGTTTTAAGTTCCAAGTTGATGTAAAAAAGGTTTAAAACATTAATTTTCTTATCAAAGGAAGAGATATTAAACGTTTAAGCTGTCTGAATGAAAAAAAAATGTATGTAAAATTATGTATCGGTATAATGCGATGGAAATCCGTCATTTTCCTTTTCTCCTTGATATTTTTGTCCAAGCGTACACATGATAGAGGAGATAATTACTATCAACGTTTATTAGGAAGATTTATTTTAAAAGTGCAAAGAAAAAGGTACAGTTTCAATACAATCTTTGCCCTGTGAATTTCTTAAAATTGAATCAGGTGTAAAAAATGAAAATTCATGTTTTCTGATTTATTGAAATTCCGTGCATTAAAATTATACAAATCATTTTTCTCACATGCATTTCTAAATTGTGACTTCATTAACATGTGCATTTTCCCTTATTTTCTTAAAATGTTGAAGAAGACACCAATTTTTAATGGATTTATTTCTTTCAGAACATATTGACCACAGGCATCGCCCACAAAGATGTTGAAATATGTGATCTTCCAATGTATTTGCCAAACATATCTAAATATTATAGTGGGCGACGGCTGTGGACACTATTTTCTAAAGAAAAAATCCCTTATACATACATATTTAAACAAATATACATCAGAGTTTATGGAATCCTTGGAGGATATTTATGACCGTCAGCAACATGCTTTCAGACTAACGAAATTGTGTTCAATGGTTTACGAGGAGTTGAGCTGACAAACTCCTCATCTCTATATTCAAGATTGTACATACACAAAATTATCAACTAACTCCTGTGTAACAGTACATCCAATGAGATAAAAACAAAAAAAAATATGTGAATAAGACTTGGCTACTTTCTTATATTAATAGCCATTCTCTGTAACCACTTAAACTTCGTTGCCACGCATAGTCACCGATTTTGATGAAACTTCACCCATGCTTAGTACTTGACACCAGAAAAAAATATCAAACAAAATTTTGTTGCTAAGTGTCTCGGTTGCTATGGCAACAGCCGGAAAAGTTTGAAAAATCGAGATTTTCAGCCATTTTAAACCCTGACTGTGGCTTAATAAAAACTAGAAAAAGCAAACAAACCATTCGAACAAAAACATGACACCTTGATGTCACTTATACTGTGAAAAAACTGTTTAAAATATATCTCTAAGTAAGTGGTAACCAAGGGTACATTTGGAATACATTTAAAATGCTGAGATATGCTGAAAAACACTCCGTATTCACTAATGGTAGGTGTTACATGCACAAACTTAATCATCGACTTAAGAAAAACAATGAAATGTATATAAGTATAAGCAATATAGTTCTATAAATTTTTTATGGTTGCAATGGTAACACAGTGTAACCATGCAAAACCAGTAACTAAGATCGGGTTTATGCTACTGTCTTGAGGAAAAACATGAAAATTCAAGACTGGCAAATATGCATCCTTAGGACCTTGCAACACCAAAACCATAAGAAAAATTGGGTATAATTGCTACTTTGTAGTGTTACCATGGAAACAAAGTACCAGTGCTTAAAAGTGAATTTTTTCCTGCTGCATTAAAAATTAAATTGCCATTTAATCAAGAAACAAATTAAAGAGCTCAACTGGAATAGTCTCATCTGTTAGAACTGAAGTTAAATATCATATATTGATAAAATTTGATGAATAAAACAACACTGTTGCTATGGTTACCAAGAAGGGAAAATGTTCGATTTTTTTAACTTTATATCAATATTAAATCCTGTGTGCCAACTTCTTGCATCCACTTAGAGATTGGATGATAGTCAAAATTAAAAGTCAAGTTAGCTGTTAATAAATATCAATCATAAAACTTTTGGGAATCTACATTTAAGGGTACGTATCCAAGGAAACAAAATATTTTTCAGGTTTTCAAGCATATATTTTCTGTTTATTTCCATAGCAACGTTCTATTTAAAGAATCTAATCTGAATTTTTTGAAATGGGAAAATTTGGGGCACACCAATATCTTATAAAATTGATCATTGGTTATGAAGAAATGTACTTTTTTTTAAAGATAGGATCGTATTTAAATATGCTTAGTGTTACTTTGAAGGCTCTCTGGGGCATAAATACCTTGGCAACCATTGCCAACCAAAATGAAATATCATATTTTTTCTTGGTATGTGTTTCAAGGCTCTTTTTTCTATTATTTGGTAACATTTCATCCTATAATTGCTTTTCATTTTTACGAGTTTGACTTCATAATATTCAATGAATATTTTTTTTACTTTTGAATACTTTGTTACCATAGTAACGTATGTAATAGTTAATTTACCAAAGATGTTTATCATGCATTTGAGACATCTTACCTTCATCTTTTGGAAACAGTCATTAACAATTGTTTGCTTTGCCGCAAATGTTAACTATGGGGCTCTAAACATGTTAAAAAATGCCATTTTTCGAACTTTAAGACATGTTGCCATGGTAACTATAAAGCATAGCAACCAATTTTTGCCTGATTTCAGTTCAGTGTATCAATGCCTTTTATCATAGAGAATTTGGAAAAATTCTGAGACTATGCGTGCCACAGCTCCTATGTAAAAGTTCAAGTCATTACAGAGAATTGCTCTTAAAACGTAAAGAAAAAACACATAAGTAACATAAAAGATATGGATTTTTATTTACAAAACTGTAACGCATTTACGTTTTCCTCTGATAATATCTGAACGTATAAAAAAGAAATTAAAAGAATTTCTCACTCAAAAATATAAAGTTGTTATCCGCTCAACAGTATTAAAATAGCACAAAGGGTATTGTAAAACATTTGTATTCATTCCATCCCCTCTTTTTTTATTCTGATAATTTTTTTTTTCAAACGAATCTTTTTTATAAGTTTAAGACAAATAGTGTCATACCTTGTCTTTCAAAATAAATTAAAATATTCCAATATACATTTTATGAAAAAATTGATAGTTCTTCATAAAAAAGGTCTCTTTATACGTCGGTTCACTGAACCTTAAGAGACGAATAAAGTCTACCTTGATCAGGCTTTACCGCTTCATATTGGTTATCCTGATGTCCACTGATATTCTGATAATCTGTCAGTGGTTGTATTTGTTCTGTGTTCTCTGTTACATCCTCGTATGTCTGATTGTTAGGACTTTGATCTTGTGCTTCTACAGTGACGTCATCAATGTCATCATATTCTTTGTTCTGGATTCTGAGATCGTGAGCTGGCTTAGGTTGTTGAATCGATCCTGTTCCAATACCTGTGAATTTCGGTAAAAAAAAGATGTGTTTGTGAAACACTGATGCCCCCGTAGGCAACATATTAACGATTAAACTTTTCTTAAATGAAAATTTAATGAAATGGTACCAAAAGTAGGGTATTCTTACTGGAAAACAATTATGAAATTTGAAAGTAAGCCAAATTTTTTTTTTCAATAAGTAGAAAAATCTTCAAGGTCAAAAGATCAATGTAATTTGGTACTGTAGATTGCTTAATTTTCGCGACACTTTATTTTCGCGAGATAGCCATTGATTCTTTATTAGCGAGACAAAATTTTCAAGAATTGTGGTAAATGCTCTATATAATCCTAAGGAATACTATTATACATGAGAATTAAATTTTCGTGAGCACACTGTCTTGCGTAATTACGCTAAAATAAAAAGTGATTTACAGTATCAAATGAGAGGTCTTGCCACATAAAATACTTATGTAGAGCATGAAAGCCCTAGCCATATAAGTTCAGAAGTTATGGCGAAGGTTCTTTTTTTTTTCAAAAGTAGGTCAAACTCCAAGGTCAAGGTTTAATTCATATAAGAATTAAATATGTAAAGTATGAAAGCCTTAACCCTTTAAAAGTTATGGTCAAGGTTTGCTTATTTAAAGTAGGTCAATCTCAAAGGTGAAGGTCAACGGGTCAAAATTCTTGGTATCCAAAGAAGGGCCTTCTATTAAGGATTACATATAAGAAGTATGAAAGCCCTATCCCTTACCGTTCCAAAGTTATGGCTATGGTTAAAGTTTTTTCACAAGTACAGAAATGTATAAGGTCAAGGTCAAAGGGTCAAGGTTGTGTGTATCCAATGAAAGGTCTTTTAACAAAGATTACATTTGTGAAGTACAAACGTCCTGGTATCTACTGTTCAAAAGATATGGCCAAAGTAATAGTTTAAAATTTTCATATAAAAGTGGGTCTTACTCCAAGGTCAAGGTCAAAAGGTCAAATCTGGTGGTACCCAGAGAAAGGTCTTGTCACAAGGAATACACATGTGAAATATGAAAGTCATAACTCAACTAAATCAATAGTTATGGGCAAGGTAAAAGTTTTTGCGGACAAACAGACAAACAGAGATACAGAGAGACAGACAACGAGAAAGAGAGAGAGAGACAGACAGACAGACAGACAGACAGACGGACACAGCAAAAACTATATCCCCCGAAACTTCGTTTACGGGGGGCATAATAAGCTAAAGGTATTGTGCTCGCTAAATTATACCCCGCCTCCCATATGTACGGTAGATCCAGGTTTGTGCTCTGGGAGACCCAAATAAATAATTATCTGGACTTAACTATTGCAATGTGATTTTTTTAAATGCTTAAGTATTGGTTAATCTTATTTAATGGTATAGAAAGATCTGCGGATAAGATATGGGTACCCTTCAATATGAAAACAGTTTACTATGAGAAACCCAAAAAATATGTCGGATAAAAAATAAATTTTGAATTGCATAATGGCACTATGCTCTAAAGATTCTGTGAAGCATTATTAATTAAGTTTCATTTAGAATTAAAAGAGGAGTTGTGAATCATACAAGAGTAACAGACAGGTGACGGACTTACAATCACCTAGACGGACAAACATACAGACAGACGGACATCACGGTCACAGTTTACCCTCCCACTTTTCAAGCGGAGGGAGGGAAAATAAGTAATTAAATATTCTTTTAAACAGAAGCATTGATAGTAAAAACGTTTCAGTGGTAAATAAAGAGACGTACGACCACTTCTATGACCTGACAATCTGGTTAGTTCAAGGCTTCATGACTTTAAAGAATTTGTAACAATTTCACAGTATACAAATTGAGTGATGTATGTTATTCTTCAAAACTTGTCCATTAAAAAACTAAGGTACACTTTTACAGGATTGGTCAATTCTCAAGATTTTTTATGTACTGTATTTAAAACTAAGTGTAAATGCATATTTGATTGGGTACTTTTATGTACAATGTGGCTGTTTATAAGTGTTTCATATTCAATTTTAGGCACAATCAACTACTAAATATTTCTTGACAAGCAATAAATCAATTTTTCCACGAGCATGCACAAAAGCTAGCACTAAGTACGAAAATTTCTTTACCAAAGCAAAATATTGAAAAAAAAAAGAATTACCTCGACGAAAAGTAAACTTATAAACTCCACAGCTCGTCAGCAACAAAACGAATAAACCAATGAGTACTCCAATAACCACCCAGGCCGTCTGAATAGAGGATTCTCTGGAAACTGCACTTACATCTGTAAAAATTTCATTTGTCATATTAGTGAAATATAATTTTTGGTAAATACACATGCATTTCTAAACAAGCTAACGTCACTTGAAAGACCTTCCATAATTTGATAAATAAAATTTCAGTGGCATTTACGCCATGAACCAGATCAAAAAGAGTTCAGAAATTTTATTCCTTAATGATTATTAGAATATGCAAGTGAGTTTAAGCTAAAAATGGATATTTCTATGCAAATGAGCTAATAAAATTCATAAATTGTATATTTTGAGTACAGAGAAAGATCAAATTAATTTTTTTATACATACTTAGTACCAACAGTTTATTAATGCAAGTGCACATTATGACGTCACATTATGACGTCATTGTTCTCCAATTCAAAGTAATAAATCACATCAACAAAATCACGTGGGCGTAAGGGCATATCCTATCTTATAATATAAACAATGTTTGATGTTAAGGAGAATATTCTTAAAATAAATAAAATTGCTGCACAAATCCTAAGCACTTTCAGTGAAATATACCCTGTTTAAACTTAAAGCAGCACGAATAGTAGCTAAACAATTGCAGTGTCGACATTTGTGCAGCAATATATTAAATTCTTTGAATATCCTGCGTCTTTTTATACCTTGTTTCTGTTAAACAAAGTAAGGCTGAAGCGATTTTGTTTATGTTTATTATAAACTTATGTAGTAGATGTCGATGACATCATCATATGACGTCATAATGTGTACTGGCTATCGCATGTCGTGGGTACCAAAGAATGTATTTGAAAACAAGTCTTAAAAATCTCTGTGCGGTAGGTAGAGCAATTATGGAATTTAATTAGATATAATGCATAAAAACCTCCATTTGTAGCCTTAACTCACTTGCGTATTAGCCGACAAGCAGAACACAATTTCAAAAGAAAAAAATGAGACAGGAGCAAACACTTAAATTACTCCATGCTTCTAGATCAACCAAATACTATTCTATACAGTTCTTTTTTGTTGCCTTCATAGCAAATTATGTACCATGGAGAGCCTTGGGTCCCCCTTTCCCCCATTGTTTCTGCGGAGACTTGTACTCTTTGTCGAATATTGTAATGTTTTATTTCTTTTAATACTTAAACAAATGGTAAGATTATCAAATGTAAACAATCAAATGCAGTCATGGATGCTATAAAGCCCAGGTACAGTAATGAATGTTGAATGCATGTTACTGTATAAAAAAGACAGGTACAGTCGTAGATGTTGTCATTATATTGGTACAGCTATGGATTTTGAATGCATGTTACTGCATATACAAGACCGGTACCGTCGTAGATGTTGTTACTTTATCTATTGACTATGGTTATAAAATATTTAGAATTTTCACGAGGCACTGTCGTTGATATCAAAAATTAACACGAGGAATGCGGACTGTCCTGAATGTTGTCTATCAGGTGCATTGGTTCAGTCAGGGACATAGAATAAAGGGTGCATGCAGGAGAAATACGGTCGTGGAAGATTTTAATTTGACTTAGGTACCGTCATGAAGCAAATATGACATAATTTTACGTGACAGATAGAGTAAAGTTTGTGTATATTGGACACGATATTGATAATCAGAAATTGGGTAGAGTCACGGATGATTAATAACTTGTGTATACAAGACAGGTATAGAGCCACGGATGTTTTTTTTATATCTGAGACACAAGAACAGTAGTCGATTTTTTTAGTCGAATATTAATTCAGTCATAGATATAGAATAAAGAATAGGCCGTGGATGTTTTGAACAATGAAGAGTCCATGCAGGATGCAAAATGATTATTTTGTTCAATGTATTGTTTTATGGACTTTGATATTGAATATTATTATACTTCTGTTAAAATGTTTCCTATATAAAGTTCAGAAGGTAATATACCTATCCTTTATAGTTCACGCATAGTAAAGCTATACCCCGGGGTATAGTTTTTGCTATCCACCCTCGGAAAAATTTCATGCAATTTTTGCCATAAATTTTGATTTCCAGCGATAAATTTTAAACTGATGATGTCATAATGACTTCAATAGCATTGTGACGTCATCAGGATTTCAGATTATTCTTGCAGAATAATCTTATTCCAAAAAAATTCAAACGTCAGAAATCATACTATACATCAGTATAATAAAACGCTTATCCACTGGGTGTGAGTGGGATAACTCTTTTATCTAACCCTTGACAGGAACTATTCCCCTCGGGCAAGACCTCGGGGAATAGTTCTCTGTCGCGGGTTTGATAAAAGAGCTATCCCACTTACACCCAGTGGATAAGTGTATACTGTTCGGTATCTCCATATCCTTCTTCATACAAGAAAAGTACAGTTATTGATGTTTTTAATCTGGCGAATACAGTCGTGGTTGTAAAATAAAATATGTCTTCAGAACAGGAATAGTCAAATATGGAACGCCAACACTGCCTTATAGCATACAACTATGCATTTATTATGTCAATTTATCATTACGTGATGTGAACATATCTTTACGTTATGTCAATTTTTTATGAGATTACGTAAAAATATCTTTACATCATGTCAATGCTGCATTACATGAAGTAAATACATCCTTTCATTATATCAGCACTTCATAACTTGAAGTCGAAAATTCATTATGTAAAGTGATTATGTGTTTACATTGTGTTAAAACTTTATTACGTGAAATGAATGTTTCTTTACATCATTTCATTTCTTTAATATGTGAGGTCAAAATTGCATTACGTCAAGTGAATTGTGTTTTATAATTAAACTTATCATTACATGAAGTCAAAAATCCATTCCTTTTTGGGAGTGTATATTTCTATTATATCAAAGCATTATTACATGATATGGGTTTTTCTTTATTTTAGGTCGGGAGCATCATGATGTGAGATGAACTCACCTTACCTTTATGTCAGTGCTTTATTACGTGGTGTAAAAAGTGTACGACATTATGTGAACATTTCTCTATATTACATCAACACTTTATCACATTATGTCAAAACTCAATTCCGTGATGTGGATATATAATTACGTTATGTCAACTCTTTCTTATGTGATCTAAAATATCTTTATATTGTGTTAACTCTTTATCATGTTGATTCCAAAAGTGCATTACCTGATGTAAAAATACATTTACATTATCTCAAAGCTGTATATCTGGTATAAAATGAATGTTGACGACCGTGTTTTTATGACTGGTAAGAGGTCGGGGGGGGGGGGGGGGGTCCTTATTGATTAGGAAGAATTATACAGGCACAAAATATCAGCCCCCCTCTTTTCCCAGACATAACGTTACAATAGAAAATGTAATGTTCATTGAAAGCACAGCCCCACACCCACTTTTTGTTGAAGTATAGTCCACTGAGGGTAATGTAGTATATCTGACAAAAAAATTAGGACTGATCGAAGTTGGACCCCCCTCCCCGAAATAGGATTTTCGGGCTGGGAGTGGACAATTTTTTTTTTTTCGCTTCTCACGTTTTTTCGGGCGAATATTTTTTTCTGGCTGACCCCCCCCCCCCTCTTTCGAAAAAGATGATACGTCACTGGAATTAGTAATTTTTTTTCAACCATTCCAGGGCCAGAATTCTATTACAAAAATCTACCAATCCCTCATCTAAATCAATTAAATATGCCTTAGTAAGCATGCATGGACACATATCAGTAGCGGATATGAGAATCTTGAACAAAAAAAAATTGCCCAAGCCCGAAGGGGGGCGGTTTATGGTTGGAGACAAAGGGGGAAAGCGGAGAAGCTCTCAGGCTTTATAGTTTTATAAAAAAAAAATTAGTATTTTTTTTCAACCATTCCAGGGCCAGAATTCTATTACAAAAATCTACCAATCCTTCATCTAAATCAATTGAATATGCCTTAGTAAACATGCATGGACACATATCAGTAGCGGATTCGAGAATCTTGAACAGAAAAATTGTCCAAGCCTGAAGGGGGACGGTTTATGGTTGGAGACCAAGGGGGAAGCGGAGAAACTCTCAGGCTTTATAGTTTCATAAAAAAAATTCAGCTAAACTTAATGTGAAACTAATGCAATGTCCTCACAAAGTAAAACCAATAAATTTATTAATTGTATGTACATGTAGATTTTGGTCACTAAAGGTGGTAGGGCGGGATTTCCCCCTCCCCTCAACCCACCAGTGCACGTGTGCTATACGATGTGTTTACACTTTTAAAAAAAAGGAAAGTTCAAGACTGATAAAATAAAATTATGACAATGTTCTTAGTAAGATCAGAAGTTTAAGACTTTTATCCAAAAAAAAAAAAACCAAAAAAAAAAAAACCAAAAAAAAAAAAAAAAAAAATTGCTGCACGACTCATAATTGATTTATTTAACTATCAGATAAAAGTAAACGCCATTGAATTTCGACTTGACTTTAATTCACAGACGCAATGTTAAGGCTTTGCACGTTTTAAGATTGTCAATCCTTTGTCGCTTAAAATTTTTATTTAAAGATGCCATTCCCAAATCGCTGAGATTTCTTCTACGACAATTTTCTCTCCCGGCAATTTTAGTGCTTTCGGAACGCGGAAAATACGTTATGCTCATATAAAGGCCGAGGATACCCGTGTTCGCATAACGTAATAGTGAATCGACATAATGTAGTAGTGTGAGTTAATATCATAAAGAATTGACATAATATAATGATAGGTTAACACGATGTAATTGTTGTTTAATTAAATGTCATGAACAGTAAACATAACGAAATGCAAGAATGTGTAAATGTCATAAAGTGTTGACATAATGTAAAGGAAGGTTTACACGATGCAACAGTAGTGTGGGATAATATCATAAAGAATTGACACAATATAATGGAAGATTGACACAATGCAGTAGTAGTGTGGGTTAATGTCATAAAGAGTTCACATAATATAATGGAAGGTTGACACAACGCAATAGTAGTGTGAGTAAATGTCATAAAGAGTTGACATAATGAAATGGAAGGCTGACACAATGCAATAATAATAGTGTGAGTAAATGTCGTAAAGAGTTGACATAATGGAACGGAAGGTTGACACGATGTTATATAAGTGTGAGTAAATCTCATATAGAGTTGACTTTATGTAAAGGAAAGTTCACACAATGCAATAGTAGTGTGAGTAAATATCATAGAGAGTTGATATAATGTAATGGAAGGTTGACACAATGCAGTAGTAGTGTGGGTTAATGTCAAAAAGAGTTGACATAATATAATGGAAGGTTGACACAATAAAATAATAGTGGGAGTAAATGTCATAAAGAGCTGACATAATGAAACCGAAGGTTGACACAATGTAAAAGTAGTGTGAGTAAATGTCATAAAGAGTTGACATAATGTAAAGGAAAGTTCACACAATGCCATAGTAGTGTGAGTAAATATCATAAAGAGTTGACATAATGTAAATGAAGGTTCACACAATGCTATAGTAGTATGGGTTAATATCATGTAGAGTTGACATAATGTAATAGAAGGTTGACACAATGTAATAGTTGTGTGAGTAAATGTCACAAAGAGTTGACATAATGAAATGGAAGGTTGACGCAGTGCAATTGTTGTGTTCTGCTATAAGGCAGTGACGGCGTTCCATAGTCAAAGCTGTTGTTAATCTTGTGCGGGTACAACCATGATTGTAAAAATTTATTGTCGTGGCTGTTGTCAACCAGGAGCAGGTAAAATCATTGCTTTAAAATAAGTGCATACATGCCAGATTAAAACTCACCTCTTCGAACAAAGCTTATGAGGATTGTGAATGTTGTATTTTGAGTAATTTTTAGAATATACAAATACTGAAGTGGTTAAAAGGTCTTTAAGGCATTTTTTTTTTGGTTTTACTCGTAAGTACAGGTTCCTTAATTTTTTTTTACATTTCAATAGATGTAATTTTTTAAGCCATTTCTGCGCCATATACAGTTCACTTGAAATGGTTTTAGGTCTTTTAATATGCATTATGTTAGATAAACCATATTTTATATGCAAATATGCATATGTGTTTTAAGTAGTTTTTTTCTCCAATCGTATGCATATGTGTATTTTAATGTTAAAGGCATTAGAGAGTCTACATAATAATATGCAACACAAACTTTGTTTTGTATTGTATTTTATTGCAAGGGTTTTTCTTACAATACATTAAATGCTTTACACGTCATGATAGGAATGGAATATTATTTTTAAATCCTATATATAGCAGTAGGAACAAACTATTGATGAAATTTTATAAATTGTTATAATGTTTTTAACAAAATGTTAAGATTCTTTTTTAAATCCTACCTTTGGCGTGAATTGTTATATCAGCGAAGGCTTTTCCTTTGTATTTCAGCGAATAGGTTCCGAATGATCTCTGATCAGGAACAGGAATGGAGCTGTTGATCCAGTGTTTGTAGACAACGTTATCTCTTTGTGAAACATCAATTGAAATTGACGCAAAAGTGGGTCCTAACCAAACGAACCCTGATGTAGATGTTAGGGGATTCGCAACAACTGGTAAACTTACAACAACTTTAACATCCGGGCCACTTCTTGATTCATAGATGTTTTTCACCAAAGTACCTTCATCGAGGCGAGGTTCACCTGCAATTCCATAAAGAACATTGCTAATGGTTTAACACTACGAAAACATCAAAGCATTAATGACAATGGATACTCAATAATTATTATCAGACTTCAATATTCTGTTACAATGTATACGTACAGAGAACGTTAATACTGAAGGACTGATTCCTTCTCCCAAACTCCGTCGATTGTCCGACACATTCGAAAGTACCCGTGTCAGAGCACTGGGCCCATCTGATCAATGTGTAGTTTAGCCAATGATTTACATTCTGTATATAGATCTGGTTCCCAGTGAGTTTGCGTAAGGTGATTTCTGGAATAGGATTTCCATAGACAAAACACGACAGGAAAACTTGATTTGATTCATTAATGGTTAATGCATCGCTGGGTTTACCATTAATATATAACCTCGGGTCCAATAAATCTGATTTTTAAAAAAAAAATTAAATAAATATCAAGTCATCGCATAAAAACTAAGAATCAGTTGTAAACTTACCTTTTTTCAAAAATTAATACGTTCAAGACAGTGTTAAGTTTTAAAGAAAGTTTTCTATTAAACAACCTCAACATGACGATACGTTTTTTGAGTTATTATTATTTAGTATTATATTTTTTGAAGGTTGAGAGTTTCAAATGCACATACGTACACTAAATACAAAGTGAATTTACTAATTCTTTTAAAGGCATTCAAACAATTTCAGTTTTTACACATCAAATTTGTAATCATACGTGGCAGTTATATTGTAAAAGCGAAATACTGCAAGTTTAATTTAGATTATAGACGATGCTTCAAGGGTCATTGTCACACAGTTGCAGAAGTTTTAAAATAGACGCTATACATACGTATATCATGATTTCAACAATCTAGTGCGTGTATTGCATGGATCAGATATTATTTGCTTTTAAGCTTTAAAGTAGATAGTTTTACAGTTTCCGGATGTGCATTTTTTTCATATATCAGGTAAAATGAAGAATCAAATAAAACATTATTTGTATCTTAAGGTTAAAATTGTTTGATTCTGAAAAGCGTTATAATATTTTTTTTTCTAATTTCATGGGAAATAAAAGAAAAGATGAAAGTAACGATAGGGATTTGGTTTTAAGTTGTATTTTTCACAATGCATTAACGTTCCCTTTTTAAAAAAAAATGTTTGCATATCCCACTTACATTGAATGTTTATCTTAATATTGGATACAGAGCGACCTTCAATTCCGTTAACTAAACATCGAATCCATGTCAAATTTGTTCTGTTTGCTGTTTGTTTTGCTAAATTAATCCATGTTATGCCAATGGATATAGCGTCTCTAAAACCCCTTCAGTATGACAAATGGTTACCGCAGCATATACAGTAAAACAATGCTTTAAAACACGCTTACATTAAATGTTAAGATTAATGATGTTTTTTTTTCATTGTAGCAGTTATTTTGAGACGATGCTCTGAAACAGTCTTACATTGAATGTTCAGCTTGATGCTTGATGATGTTTTGCCGTCAGTGCCGCTCACTATACATCGAATTGATGCCATACTAGTTCTATTCGCTGTTTGCTCTTGTACAGTAACTGAAGACGTCAAAATGGATGTAGCGTCTCTGAAACTCCCTAACGGATGTTTATATTTCCACTGCATGGCACAAGGTGGGTTACAATCAGAAGAACATGTGTATGGACCAAATGTTTCCCCGTCGTGAATATTTAGACCGTCATAAGGCGGCTGAGGATTTATTATTACATTTCCTGGACCATCTGTGAAGAGAAGAAAATGAGTTTTCCATAATATTTTGTGTAAATTTTGGAAATCTTACATTTTCGATTGGTTAAATTCAAGGAGGTTGTTAGTCAAACATCAGATTAACATAGTAAAAAAAGTCAATTTCAGCTATCAAGGTAAAGGACAGACGAGACGTTCCCAAATAATATATATATTTTCAAGAGTTTGTCTTTGAAGTATTGCTACTTAAACATGTTTACCTACAAAAGTTTGAAGTACCTTACCAGGTATTTCTGCAAGATACCAGGGGTAGTTTTTCTTATGTATTCCTTTTGGGATGAAAAATAATTTTCCAATTTCAAATGCTTAAGGTAGGCCCGTACTTTCAAACTTTTCTGACCCTAACCCAAACTGATCATTTTTTTTACTTGAATACCTTAAATAACTCATGAACTCATAAAACAAACATAAAAGACATATATTTGCAGGTTAATTTCCATACAACATGTCTCAGAGTACATACCTCTAAAAATTCAACATCCAAAATTAAACATAAAGAAGTGTGATATCAAATTTTATGTAGCTAGGCACCTAATCACATAAAATTTATATTAAAACTTAAGGAAAAAAACATTCATTTGCGAGGAGAATATCAATGTTTTAAATCTTTCCGGGAAAACATTAACAAATTAATGTTGAATCTGTCCACGTCTATAAGAATAAAATCTTTTAATATCTTTATTTTTAATAATTCTCAAAATTTGAATTGTTTACATGCCATTTTTTCTTAAAAATTAGTAAGAATTATATCTAAGGTTATCAAAAACACAATTTTTTATTGACCAGAATAATTTAACAAAACAGCCCTTTGAACACGTAGACTCCCATATTTGGAATATCGAATTTTTCAATTATTTTTTACAAAATTTATAACGGAAGTAAAATTTAAAATGATGATATTGGCCTGAAATCTATTAAAATAGATCCCAAGTTAGTTTGTTTAAAAAAAATATAAGAAGGGTTTAGCTTAATAAATGCAATTAAGAATTTTGTGTCTGTGTATGTACTAAAAGCATATAAATCCCATGGACTAAGTGTTAAGTGTTAATTTCCATAAATAGTATATATTAAATGCTTTGTATTTCAAATTGACACTATAATTATTAAATATTTTACTCATGAAATTATTACAAAAAATGTGATAATCAGAATTTTATATTGTTGTGTAAAATTAAAGCCGGATCTGTAAAAGTATGGACCTGCCTTAAGTGTTTGGATTTTTTAAAGACGTTTAGAAACTGGTTCAGAAACTTAAAATTTTGAATATTTTTCATACTTTACGAAGATATACAAACCATATTTTGAGGAAAGTCGACGTCTTGTCTGACCTTGATGAAGGATTTCTAGGATATTTATAGTGTATCATTCCAAACACCTTCGAGCCAAAAAAAAATTCCCATGCACCCTTTATCTTACCTTGATAAAGAATCTTTATCCTATTAAATCAAATAGATTTTTTTGTAGACCCAAGGCTAATAAGTGGTATTTCAAACTTTCGATAACATTTGTTATGTAATACAATGCATTATGATGTCATATTATCATATTGCTTTTAGTCTGGTCCTGATTTTAAAAAAAGAGGGCTAGAAATAACTTCTAACGGCAAATAATTATTATTTGGTCCAGGCATTGTTTTTTAACCTATTTCGAGTATGCTGAATCCAAAAAAATATACTGGCCTTCATGAAAATGGCATTAAAGAGGTCAAAATGGCGATTCAAAATGGCGGACACTAAATTTTTCTAATTTTTTCTTAATGTCGTTCAAAAAAGGAGAAATAATGTGTGAATATCTCACTGAGTGTAATACCAGTATTAAAAATGATAATAGAGTGCAAATATTTATTAATTTTACTCAGAAAAAGTCGTCTCTACACTTAATTCGAATTTTCTCTGATTTTTTGGTCTATCGTTTCTATATTTTTCTTTGTTCAGGATTTTACATTTGCAAATATCCATACACTGCATATTTGTATTTTCCCCTCTACATCTCACCATTCTACAATTGAATGATAGTGCAGCAATAAGTTAAAAGTCAAAATGGCGATTCAAAATGGCGGATATTCATCCTTTTCTTCAAATTATTTAATTCTTAATGTCGTATACATACGAGAAAGGATTTGTGAATTTTTACTGAATGTTGTACAACTATGTAAAATAACAAAAGAACACTTATTTGATCACTTTAAATCGGAAAATTTAGTCGTTAAATTTGAAATGTGTTAATTAGCTAAAAATGGCAATTCAAATGACGTCTTCACTCGAATTTCGTAAAATACCCTAACTGCTTAATTTTGGTTCGTTTTGCAGAAAATAAACTACAGTTTGTTTTTTTATTCATGAAATGATGTTCAATTATGCAATGAAAGTTGGGGGATATTTTTGTTAATGACTTTGAATTTTTATAATACGGATTTTTGTTTAACTATTGTTATGATAATTTTTTGACGACAATACCGAAGGCATTTTACCTTTTACCTGTCTCACCATGCTTCTTCATATATAAAAGTTAATAATATCATACAATAATTGCTGTTTTGAGGACAATATGAAAATGAAGTTACCCCAGGAGCAGTATCCCCCCAGAAATCGGGCAAGTTTTGGAAA